CTCTCCCCCTCCCTCTCTCTCTCTCTCTCTCTCTCTCTCTCTCTCTCTCTCTCTCTCTCTCTCTCGTTTTTTTTTTTTGTTTGAATGATGCAATCATACATCAGCAGCGCTTATAGTTTAGGGCTGATGCCAAAACACAAACAAAATCAAGTCCAAAGGCCCTCAATACACTCCAAATTCAACTAATTTTGCCAAAGCATCCCTGGGAAATAAACAGAGTTTTGCTAATGGCTGCTAATAGCACATTAAACCGGGAAGTAGATTGGCCCAGACTTTGTTGGTTGATTCAATTTCTGACAAGCTGCAACCGTACAAACCTGGTCATCGAATGAACTAACCAGCTCTGAGCTCCTATTAAAAACCCTGATGCGGTAACTGTACTAGCTACTTCACTAGCCTGACTGTGTAGCTATGACCTAAATGATTCCCACCCTTTCGTGAACCAAGGCGCAGCATAAACAATGGGAGTAGTAACGTTGCGCCGGGGCCGGAGTATCAGTGCCCAACAATAATTGGCACGTTTTGAAGCATTATCTCTTTGAGAATGTCAATGTGTTTTGAGTAGGTGGCAATCATTTTCTAGTCAGGCGCTTTTGCCCATCGTGCCGCTTCATTTCTTTCCTCGCCTACACAAATCTGCCACTCGTATTGGGAGAACATTTGTGGATGCAAACGCTTCTTCCGTCACCAGTGACATTGTGAAGGTGGCCCATTGTGTGAGCTACTCGGTTTTTACGCTCTGTTGCGCCGGTTGTTACCTCCGCCAGGGAATCCGATGAGCTGTTTTGTGGGCGACTTTCTGTATACTTTAATAGGTAACGTTTAGGTGACAGGATGTAGGGCTAGGTTTAAGTTTGAGAGGTTAGGTGCTATGTCATGGCTAACTACCCTCAAGTGTGGCTCAAAGATTTTTCATTCTGTTTAGCCACGTTGGCTAAGAGGTTTCATGACCCAGCACCCTGGTTTATGGGGAAGGCGTTTTGGGTTAAGTAACTAAGGTTACAGTAATGGGCAAGGCCTTTTGGGTATGATTCAGTGGTTTAGTTTGAAGGCCGTCATTGATTTTTTACCTGACATACTGGATTTAAATCTTTGGAGGAGGTCTTGCTCTTATCATTCTGCCATTCAGAATACAATTCATGTGGCGTGTCGTCTTATTTCAAGCATTTGATGCAACGTTATATCAAGACATCGCGATCAAAAAAAGACAGACGTGTTGAAAACGTCACCTCCTCACCAGAAAACCAATCTGCTCCGCACTCTACCTCATACAGGATATAAATATCTATAAACGATGGCGGTGTATCAGAAGTCTGGTTGCAAAACCTCTTGCGAGCTGAAATCCCTTTATCGCCACGCTTCTGAAAGCAGCGAGAGGCTTAGGACAGGAAGAAGACTGAAAACAGCGCCATTCCGTCAACCTGCCGCCAGATTGTCCTCTAATCCCGATTTTTACAAATATGCAAGCATCACTTTGGCGCTCCATTATTCACGCAAGCCCCCTTGACGGCGTTGGCGCCACACAGATGAATGTTATCGGGTAACCCTCAAATCCAACTTGGGTGGTTAGCGGTAAGGCAAGACGAGCCCACTTGATACCACAAATGCAACACTAGACTTCCACCAAAGTTTTCTCCAAATAATCTGCCCTCAGTTTGAGGGCCGATCTTCCAAGCCATCGCGTAGTCACCCACCCAAACAAGTACAAGTGGCCACAAAGACATTAGTGCAACTTGTGGAAGTTTCCGCATGCATACTGAACAGTGTTGCTGACAGCCTCTTTGGCAACCAGTGTTTCTATTTGTTCTGCTCAAATCTCCCACTGATCTGCTGTGCAGCGAGCCGGCGTTAGCGAGGTGAGCTGCATGTTGCACAACGCTCGTTAAAGACGCTGGCGGTGGGCCCAGCCAGCCCCATCCACCCCGCCAGGAGAACAGATAAGCCTGGAAGCTTTAGCCGGCGCTGACCACCTTCTATTTACGGCACATCGGCGGTTTAATGGTAATGACGACGAGGGGGGTGACTGGCCGTCACCCACGTGGGCACACACATGTGCACACGCAATATTTGGCAATCAACATTATTGCCAGACACGCAGGAACAGCAAACATCAATCAGAACTGACGGAGAACAGGATTAGGAATTTGCCCTCAGGGTGTTTAATTACACTTAGGAACAGTACACAGCAAAATAATGTTGTTGTGGTTATTTATTTACTCTTATATTAACGCTGAAGGCGAGAACGGTGTTTTAGCCTTTGACAAGCCGCCCTCGGATATACTTAGCATATAGTGTGTGTGTGTGTGTGTGTGTGTGTGTGTGTGTGTGTGTGTGTGTGTGTAATACATACACACATTTATAAGACTCACACATTGTTAAATTTTAAACACCTTTTCCGGCCTGTCAGAGCAAGTTGAATCAGATTCTGATCCAGATTAAAACTAGAATTTCATCTCTCCTCCCTCAGGTGAGGAACGATCTCACCAGTGAACTGGAGAAGGCCGACATCCAGATCGCCGACACAGAGAGTTTCTCCAATGATCCCTGCGTCAACGTCAAGAAACTCAAGGTGTGTTCCGAGCAAAGATACCGAGCCATCGAGAGTAAAAACCTCAGTCGTAAATAATTCACCACGGTCATCTTGTGAAACTAGTTTCAATTTTCTTCAGTTCATTCATGACAAATCTCATATTTTGACTTAAACTGAAGTTTGCAAACTGAAAAGCGCATCAACAATTTGTGTAAATATGATTGAATCTTCTAAAGTTAATTTTTAACCAGTACTTAACATGTTGTGATACATATTGCGGGCACTGTAATTAAATACAGTTTGAATTGTTTTTATTGTCCGTTAAGATAAATAGCTGGCCAAAATATTTTGTCAATATTGTCACGTATTAGTATTGCAAGTAATTAAATGTAATTCAAATGGGACTGTCGGACTCTCATGCAAAAAACTTTCCGCGTGTGTAGCTAAATAGGCAACCAAATTATTTGTAAAATTGTCAGTATTTTGAGCTAATTTTTTTTTTTTTAAATAGACACATAACGTCTTGTAATACATATTAGAGGAAATTCAGTTGTATGTAATTGTTTTGTTTAAAAATAAATAAAACACAAATAAGAGGGAGATCGGGTCAATAACAAAAATGGGAAAAATAAAAAAATTAAGGATTAAATGAAAAAAACACACACACACACACACACACACACACACACACACACACACAAATAAGCAGAGGTTTCCATGACAACCATGTGCAACATGGCGAATTCACAAATGCCCGACCGCTAATATGCGGGGAAATTATTTTTTTAATCTAAAATAACTATTACAGAAATTAGTACATTTTAGAAAACCATGCAATTAGCTAATTAGTGCACAACCTCATTTTGACAAGGAAGCTAATGGCTTCTCTCTTGTCAATAGTTAGTTCATCGTTAAAAAATAAAATACAATTGAACATGACTAATAGTCTTACATTTGAATTACAGAACCAATTGACTCCTTCCATTGGCTCACTCAATATCTCCAGCGATCCCCGTCAATGAACAAGGTCTCAATCTTAATATAATCTGTTATCGTATTGCGTCCTAATTGAAGTGTATTTAATCAACGTGTAATCTATGCAGTGTACGCGCGTCCAGGCGCCTCGAGGAATTTAGAATGAAGAAGAGCTGAAAGATGAGTCGCTCCCAGTGACATATGGTGGCTGTCGGCCCCCGGGAGGATTTGTGATGTGCACGATACGTGTGGTGGATTGTGCAGGAGACAAGACAGTTTCAAATTTTGCTTTAAAACCGTTCAAAGTTGCGTTTTAAGCCTGCGGTAGGGTTACAAATGAGAGTTTCTAGCCTTTGTTAGACTGATGAAACAGATTCGGCTCCTGGCAAAGACTGATGATCATTTGTCTGCATCATTCCAAAATGAAATATTACAGTCACAACATGACGCTTAATGTGTGTCAATATTTGTTTTTCTTTTAGGACAACGACGTGAGGATCATCATCGGACAGTTTGACGAGAACCTGGCCTCCAAAGTCTTCTGCTGCGTAAGTGCCATCCCCACGTGCGGCGCGGCGCGGCAGTGGCCCGACGGCACCTGAATACCTCTTTGCTCTCCGTCCAGGCGTACAACCTGAACATGTTTGGCAGCAAATACCAGTGGATCATTCCTGGCTGGTACCAGGGCAACTGGTGGGAGCAGGCCAACAGCACCAACTGTACCACCAAGAAGCTGCTGGCCGCCATGGAGGGCTACATCAGCGTGGACTTTGAGCCCCTCAGCGCCAGGCGGATGAAGGGCATCTCCGGAAGGGTGAACCCACCTCCTATTCTGCACCCAGCACGGGCACACACACATACACACACACACCTCCAACACCAAAAATAGAAAAACAAAAAAGATGTACAGCAAATAACAAATGCACTCAAGCATTGTGGTGGTATTTGGTTGGTATTTACGGTGGTGGTAATTGCAAGGCTGAAAAAAAAGAGCTCTGGAGCATTGAACCATGAAGTGTTTTGTTCTATTTTGTCTCGTAGTAAGCTACTTTCTTTTTGTTCATTGGGAGTTAGACTACTTCCTGGTTTGGTTATTTTGTAGGTAGCGAGCTACGTCTGTTCGCAGGCTACATGCGGGGCTAGTTAGGTTTTGTTGTTTGTTGGTTAGCAGCCTACTAACTTTTTAGTTTGTGAGCCTAAATGCGACTTGGTTTTGTTTGTTACTTAGCACGTGATGTTCTGGTTTTTTTGTTCATGATCGGGCTACTTCCTGGTTTGATTTGTTGGTTAGCCAGGACATTTCCTGCTTTATCAATTGACAACTGGCTGCTTCCTACTTTATGTCCCATTTCAGACCCCGCAGGAGTACGAGCTGGAGTACAGCCGCGAGTTACATCAGAAGGGTGTGGAGCCCAGCAAGTTCCACGGCTTCGCCTACGACGGCATCTGGGTCATCGCCAAGACCCTGACCCGGGTCATGCACCTGCTGCGCGAAAAGCAGCGGCAGAGCGGACACCCCAATTTCACCGTAGACAACCACGAGGTGGGCAAGATGGTGCTGGACGTCATGAATGAGACCAACTTCTTTGGAGTCACGGTGAGTGTGAAGAATCAGCAGTTGGCGAATTTGTGCAACTGCACTTATCGCTAACATCTTTACCTGCGCATTTATTTGACCTTGCGTTGACCTTTTTTGAATGTACTTGAGACGTTTACCACTCTACTTTCCCCACTACTGTCATCTTCATCTCGCAGTAGTTTACTGTCTTGCCAGTTGGCTATCAACGCTAGTTACTCCTCTGCTGATATGCGGTCTTAGATGGAGCAGGGCGTTGGCGCGGCCATATTACAGAAATGGCACAAATATACACGACAAGTTGCTAATAGGTCCATTTTACAACTAATAGTTTTAGTTTGGGTTCTCTACTCCCTGCTGTTTTTTTTTTCCAAAAATGTGAGTCCAACTTTTACAGCTTCTAAAATCATCTGTATGTGTGTCGAATGTGTGTGCACACCTGAAAAAAAATGTCAGACACTGTGTCTTCATTAGCGCAAATGGTTTGTAGAGAAGGTTACTTCGCCCCTCTAAAGTGCTGCTGCATGCCCACTCCAGCGCATTCAGCATTGATCCTGTCGTGTGTGTGTGTGTGTGTGTGTGTGTGTGTGTGTGTGTGTGTGTGTGTGTGTGTGTGTGTGTGTGTGTGTGTGTGTGTGTGTGTGTGTGTGTGTGTGTGTGAGAATGTGTGAGTGTGAGCACTTTCACTTACTATTGGGCTGTTAAGAGGATACCATATCTCCTGTGCGGCAGCAGGATGTCACACTGCCAAGAGTGGCAATGCAGGCTACTTTATGATGCGTTAGTTAGCACACTTTTTGGTTTGTTTTTCTAGTTTGATATTGAACTGCCTGCTTCCCGGTTGGTTAGTTGGTTGGTTTAGTAGTTAGCAGCCTAATTTGGTGTGTGTATGTTTTTTTTTTTTTTCTGGTTACTTCCTGGTTACTTCCTGGTTTGTCAGTGTTATGAACAAGCAAGCTACTTACCGCTTTGTCGGTTATGTCCCAGTCTGTCTGTTAATTTAAATAGCTTCCTGGGTTGTCCATTTTATTGGCCAGCAAAGTTTTGTTGGTGATCAGGCTACTTCCTTTTTCGCAAGGTTTTTACTGCTTTGTTAGTTAGCAGGTAACATCCTTGGTTATTAATTCGTAGCAGGCTGCCTTCTGGTCTGTTAGTTAGATGGTGACATTTTACTTTGTCAGAAAGCAGGTTCTGTCCCGGTTTGTTTAGTTAGTTAGAATGTACGCAGGTGATGCTAGCATGAAGCTGCCTATCCTCTTAAAGGTAAAAAAAAAAAAAAAAAAAGGATAATGGAATATATTACGTACTGACTTTGCTGAATCCTAAGCAATGTGTAAACAATTTACACATTGCAACCTGACTAGCAACCTGCGGTTGCTACCCCAACATAAGGGTACAAAGTTGTTTTTTTTTTATACCCTCAAAACTTGAAGCAAAAATTTGTAATACATGAAAAAGGTGCAGTAGCAATATACTGTACTGATGTTGATGATGCTATGATAGGTGTTCTTTTAAAAGTATTCATGAAGTAAGATTACCCTGCACGCACAAGCCTTAGACCGACACACACACGCAAACATGCTCACACACAAGGCAGCAGACACGGGAAGGCAATCAGCTACCACCACTCTATGCAAATTTTATGCCACTGCACAAAAAAAAAAAAAAAAGAGAGAGAAATAAAAATATCCACTGTTACACAACCCGAAAAACTGCAAATTCCAGCTTTTTATTTGAAGCCTTTTCCTTCTTCTTCTTGTGATGTTACACTTTTTTTTTTCTCAACGCACATTCCAATCCCATGACAACGCACTCATGACCACTCCATCATGGAAGTCTCTGCAGTATTGATCTGCAGTCGAGATACCTCAACCCCACCCATCCCCCACCAAAACCGGAGGATGATTACCCACTGGTGGAAGATATGGGACCGGGGGGGTCAGATGGTTATGGGAGATGCGAAGGATGGTGTTCAGCAAGGTTGTGATTCAGATGATACACGTTTTCTTTGATTTGCGGTCACTGAGGCACGGCCGCAAACATTTCTTCTAAGGTCTGAGTGTGTATGTCTGATTAAATCCGGTAAGCGCCGACATTTTACTGTAATTAGCAAGGTGTGATTCAACGCCTCGTTTTGTTCGCACAGCGAGCGTACGTGTGGACTTGAAGAGGTTGGAGGGGAGGAGGGGCCAAACGGAGGTGTACTGGCGCCCCGTTTCAGTCATCTGCTCTTTTCGCTGATGCGAAAGAAGGAGCGGAGGAGTAACTGCTGAGTCATGAAGCAAGACCCTGTTGGCGCAGCAGGTGCCGTTTAATGAGCTGAACTCTGAATGGACTGACAGACTTTTAGCCTGCGTTTGTGAATGGGCAAACAGATATATGCATCATCTGGTTGTGAATGGACAGACGGATGTTGACATTGCGTCTGCGTGTGAATGGACATACACATGTGGATGTCTGCTCATGGGCAAAATGTACGGTATGCTTCGTATTGTCGGGTCCCAAATTCTGTCTTCGTCTAAATTCACACACAGACACACATTCCCTCCTGCACACGCAACTAAGATGTCACACTTGTTCCTGGATTAGTGGAGGGAAGACAAAGATGGAGACTGCGAGAGAGAGAGAGAGCGAGGGGGGAGGCGAAATCAAGCCACAGAGGCCAAATTGATTGGACGACATGAGACGATAATGCCGCAAAGCGCAATTGCTTTTGTCTACTGCGTCGGGGCTGCGGCTTAAAAGTGCTTTTTCCCCTCTCGCCTCAATCACTTTTTTTGTTTTTTTTTTAATGGAGGAAACACCATCTTTAGCCAACTGCTAACGTTAAGAAATTGACGTTTGAAAGTAGTTTGGACCTAAACAGCATTGCAGCTGTAGCAATATCATGTCATATTATTATGGGTCAAGGCAGGGGCGGAGCCAGAAATTGCGTAATGGGGTCACCAGTGTGGCATATGCGTGCTAATGCATGCAGTGTTATTCATATCTTTTTTTGTTGTTGTTGTCTTATAGTTCGATGTGTCACAAAGCAAAACAGTCGCATCAAACTCGGTTCTTTTTAATTCTTTGCTTTTTGGTTTGAAACTGGTGTTTTTTGTGGAACCAGCTGCTGTCAGCACCATCAAGTGCACAGAACATGTTTATTGAACATAATACCAGTGTGACTTATGCTAGTTTGTTGATTGTTCTTCCAGGGCCAAGTGATGTTCCGAAATGGTGAGCGGATGGGCACTATTAAATTCAACCAGTTTCAAGGTACAAACACAACCAACTACTCCATGTCAGAAGCAAAAAAAAAAAAAGGATTCATTACGCTCCCAACGTAGCTTCAACTGAATGTCGTCTTCGTTGCGGCACTTGTCCAGGGTAATCACAATTTTTGTAAAGCCGGCTGCTGTGCCTGATGTGCTTGGATCGGCACCAAGTAAGCTCAGGAAAAAGCTTCACGCAAAATGAGATCGGGTTTTAGGGAGTCTTTGTCCACAGGATATTTTTATTTGTTTTTGTTCAAACCAGGGCCTGACTAATTAATCAGTCGTCTGAATTAATCAGCCGATATTAGCTCCTTTAAAAGCGGCAAAAATCTCCCTTTTTTTTGTAAAGCTGAACAAATACCAAATGAAAGAATTTAGTAAAATGTCAAATCTCCTGGTTATAATTCATATCTTTCTATATTGTTTTTTTAGTGTTGCGGGGCCCCAAAATACATTTTATTCCTCATCCATGTATATTTTTTAAATAAACCATTGACTAATCGGTTATTGGAATTTTATCCTGCCAAATATCAGAATCGGCATTGGCCTTAAAAAAAAATCAATTTCAGTTGGGCCCTAGTTTTAGCCGAACTCGAGCATACTTTCATAGAAAATTCGACAAAATGTTGCGAAACTGTTGGGTGTAGCAGAACATCAGCTATCAAAGTCTGACATTATTCTCGTATCGTCGTATCAAATGCAAAATTGATTGCAATGCAAATTTATGAGGCATAGAAGCAGAGACGGATTGTGCCTTTTTTCCCCAAGAGAGAATCACTTTTTTTTTTTTTTTTTTTTTTTTTAAATATAATTGGTGGCCTGATCTTTGTCGGTGGAAGTTGTTCCATAAAAACACGCCGATCCGTTTGTGTGGAACTGCTGCTTCCCCCCCTACCCCCGCAAATCTTGGAGAAGCATTTATCGCCCTTGCTTCCTTCGCCGCAATCTTCTCTTTATCGCCCGCTGGCTCTCCTTGAGGTGAAATAAACGCATAATTGAAACGGCATAAAGGGGAAAGCATATTAAAAAACATATTAAAGTGCATATTCCGATCCTTAAGTGATAGCCGTTGCCGAGTGCTTTATGATTTGCGTTATTGATGTTTTGTCTTATTAGTAATGCGCTTTGGATGTCTTCTGTTCAAGGCTGTAATTTGAGGCCATAAAGTTTATAGGATGTTAATAAATGTTGTTGTTGTTGTTTTTTTTTTTTTTGTTTTGAAAACAGAGGGCCACGAAGTGAAGGTGGGAGAATACAATGCCATTGCAGACGTGTTGAACCTCATCAATAACTCCATCCGCTTCCAAGGTATGGAGAAAAAAAATTGGCGCTCGGTGACATGATTACATAAATCCTCTCTAGTCGGAATTCCACTTTTTTAGAGGGCGACCAAATGTTCCAAGGAAGAAACAAAATATTTTCATCCTTAGGTCTTTAATTTTTTTATTTACCCTTCGCTCCCAAGAATAAAAAAAAAAATGCCTCCACCCATCCCTTTGTAGCATTTTATGTTATCCAGTACAAAGCAAGAAGTCGCCCGGTGTCTCAAAACACTCATCACTCTTTCTTATTTTCTGACCTTCTTCAACTTTATTTTATTTTTGTGACTACAGAAAAATGACCAAGACTGATTTCAAAAGTTTTACACCAATTACAAAGTAGCCTAGTAACTAGCAAACCATAAAATAGGTTGCGCTATAATTCCGCCCCCCCCCCTCCCCCTCCACACTGCCCATCATAGCTTTTTCCCATGGTACCGACACGGAAACCAAATGATTTACCGATACAATTTCTGCTTGTGTCGTC